CAACCATTTTAAAATATTTTTCTTTTGTTGGGCTTCAATCTTTTGAATTTTTTTAGGTGGGCTTGGGCTTAAGCATTGAACTACTATATACTTAATATATTTATATTAAATTATATATTGTTTTAAGTGGCGGGCCAGCCCGCTGCCCGCTAGGCCCACCCCGCCAAAGCTCGCGGCCTGTGCGGGCTGGCCTGTTTAGGCCCGCTCCCTAGCGGGTCTCAAATAACTCAGTCCCGCCTACTCATTTGGCGGGCCGGAGCAGGCCAGCCCGCGTGCCAAAGACAGTTTTGACAAGTATGACCGAGCTACACAGACTATAAAAAATTTAATTTAATTAAATTTATACCTTAAGCGATAAATAAAATAGAATTTTCCGAAAAAATTTTTTAATGTTTTTAAATTATTTTTTAAAATTATTAAAACCCAAATGAGATTGTGAATGTAATGATAAATGAAAAAATAAAATAGATCAAGTGAAAATATAAAAACTTAAATTCGACCAGAATATGAATTTTAATATATATTTATAACTCATAAAAATAATTATAATTAATTAGATCAAGTGAAAATTGCATATGAAAGCTATGTCACTTGAAAATGGAAGATAATATGAATAATATTTAGAAAGGTTGCTAACATATATCAATTAAATTATAACTTGTTTTATTTAGTTAATAAAAATAGTGACAAAGAACTGTCTTTTTCAACAAGATAAGAAGACAAAATTGTAAACTATCGCATGCAATCATTCTTGTCATGAAAGATTTCAATTTAGTTTTACTGTGCATATTTCTTAATTCTCCAAACAAAAAGATTTTGAAGAAACAAGACTAACTTAGACAATGACAGATTGCCAGCCGAAATTTTAATGCAATCTTTTTTACCATGACTTTTAAACATTATAATTTTGAAAATTGTGTTTCAGCTTTCAATATATTTGACACAATTCATTATGTAATATACTTCTTTTATTTAATTAATCAAAAATAATAATACGAAAAATTGCATAGACCATAAAAATATAAAAGAGAAAAGTAAAATAAAAAATATTAAAATACAAATTATGTATCACATGCATCACATGCACTTTACTAATAAATAAAATGCACTTTACTTGTATATAAAATGGGACAAGTACTCTATGATATATTATCAGTTTACTTTATTTCATATCTAAATCAACTAGTCAACCAAAAAAAAAAAGAGAAATTTATTTTCTTCTTCTTTCAACATTTTCTTTGTCATAATACATTTGCTGTAGTGATCATTCCATGTCACACCTTTCTAACCAGAAGTCGAACACCATGCTTAGGTTCAATCATCATCCTCATAACAGGCGAGTGGACATAATCAGGTGACAACTCGAACGAGAAGTTGGACAGTAGAAGCGATATTAGCAGCTTGAGCTCGACCATGGCCAGGTGCTGCCCGAGACAGACCCGCTGCCCGAACCCGAACGGCATGTACGAGCTTGGGCTCGCACACGCCCCCGCAATCCCGTTTTCGAATCTCTGGGGCTTGAACTCCAGGGCGTCCGGGCCCCAGATGGTTGTGTCCGTGTGCAGGGTCGCCACCATTGTCCAAACGTTGACTCCCTTTGGGACCGTTAAATGACCTATTTTCATGTCTTTGAATGTTTCCCGGGACAGAGTTGGGGTCGGCGGGTAAAGTCTCATTGTTTCTTGAATTACCATGTGCAACTAAAAAAAGAATTGAGTAAAAATAGTGAATGGTACAGTAATCTGGAGGGGCCACTATATTACAATTTTAGTAATTTTTGTAAAGTAATCCCGAGGGGTCAGATTACGTAATGATGTGGAAAATTGTAATCCTTCCATTTCAAAGTCCTATCCATTCACGTCGTTTCAATCCTTCTCCACGTCATCACGTAATCCAGTTTCTCGTAATTATTGTACTAAAATTGACGAAATTGTAACACGGTGGACTATTTTTTATGAGGAAAAAGTTTGTGTACCAAAACTAGACAATGGTCAATTTAGAAGACCAAAATTGAACTTTTGCCTTAATTATTACCTGTTTCATCTTTCGGAGCATGTCCAGGTCCGGGACCCGACCCTGAGAGACTTGGTGGACCTCGAGTCTGACCCGTGTCTGCCATTCAGGGTTCGAGGCCAACAGCATGAGACACCAAGAGGCTGACACGGCTGATGTTTCAAAACCAGCCAAGTAAATGTTTCGGCAATTGTCAACAATGAACCGGTCGATGGCGGCCGAGGTGGTGTAACTGCTTCTAGCACCTTCTAGAAGACTCTGCAGCAGATCTTTCTCGTATGTTCCTGCTTCTTGCTTTTGTTTCACTACTTTCAAGATTAATGCCCCGATTTCGCGCTCTAGTGCCCACATTTGTTTGTTGGTCTTTGTGGGAAGGTATCTGTCATCCATATGTATGTAGTTGACTTATATAAAATATTTTGACTTGACAAAAGTTGACTAACAGGCTTCCAAAATTTACTACTTTTGCCCTTTTAGACTTTATGGAAACAGTGACATATGTAGGAAAATGCTAAGGTCTCGTTACAGAACTATTCCGTAAGATCATCATGTAACCGTTAGAGACAGTTGATCGCTAACGAACAATCTCGGTTGGTTGGTGAAAAATAAATATCGGACGACACTTTTTAACTTAAACTAGAGGATAGTTGGGCACTTGCTTTTTATTGAAGAAAAATCAAAGAAGGGCCAAGTGCTGGATAAAAATCTAAGTTGCAATTACCTGAGGCCTGGAATTCCAGCAGTGGACAGCGTTTTGTTGGACATCAACTTTTGCAGTGAATCGAACTTCAAGAAAATTTGTTGGCCTTTGGAATAACTGCTGCCGAAACAAGCTCTAGATATTACCTCCCCTGAAAATTTCTTCATGTGATCGTCTATGGCGATATCGAGAATTCCACCTTCACAAGCCTCAGTTTCATGCTTCCATGAATCTACCAGCGACATGGCGGAATCCCTAATCATGCTCGCCATTCCCTAATCAATCATAAAACTTCATTCGTCAATCATAAAAGAAAAAATATGACGGTCTAATGGTTAGACAACCCAACAACATCAATTGTATTATCCAAAGAGAACGTTACTAGCAGTTTAAAATAGAGAGATAGATTTATCTAATTTCAAATAGAAGTCCATCATAATTGTCAAAACAATATGCAAATTATGCTTACCAAAATTATGTCCTTTTATTTTGAAAGTGTTAATTTTTAATTTTTTATTTAACTTTTTGTTTGAAAAGTAACTAAATGACAGTATAGAGCCGGCCCTACTTATTTTACGATTAATTTACTAATTTGTGATGTCTTATTTCGTTTTGCCACTTCCTTTTGTACGTGGTTGATAGGGAAATTAGTAGATTGCGTCGTATGGTTCGACCAACGAATTGTATCAGTTGTTTTGACCAGTGAATTATATTAACGATTTATAAATAATTATTTGGTAAAATTATTCACTATTAACGATTTATAAATAATTATTTGGTAAAATTAATTATTTGTAATTAGCTGTTAATTTATATTTTTGCTTATAAAGACATTCATATGTTTTATCATCTTACTTATATTAAAATCACTTAGAATAGGAGTAATAATTATATATTTAACTTTATGAAAAGTAAATCAAATGACATACTAACTTTTGTATATAAGATTGTTTGATGTTTTAGTTTGATATGGTTAATTTTGAAAAAAAAAAAACTTGTATTTTAATTGTTAGTGGAATTTTCAGTTTACGTGAAAATAATATTTAAAATAAAATAATTAAAGTTGATGATATGTAAAAATATGAGAAAAATAATGTGAAGTGGTTATTAGTTAAAATTATGTGAGTGGATGTGTAGTGAATTAAAACCGATGTAATTTGTATGAATGACTGAACGATATTATTTAATTATATTGATCATATTGAGGATAGTGGAAATGAGTTAAATTTAAGTTATATTTGAGTTAGAAAAATGACTGATTTTTTTTTTCTTGAAAAAATTTGTATCCAAGCAAGTCCTAAATGTTTGTAAAGATGTGTTTGGTAATTATGCATTTTAATATCATATGTTAACTAGTATAACACCCGTGTATTACACGGGTGCTTGTTAAAAAATTATTCTTAAATTTTAAAATTAATGAAAAAAACTAAATTAAATTTAGTTACAAAAAAAAAATATATTACTATATATTTTAGAATGATATGTGTTACTTATGACTTACATATGTTATATTATATTAGTTGTTATAACTTATATCATATAACTACTTGAAATATAAATATATTAGTTGATAAATAATTTTATTTTTCTAATTAATATTAAGAATAATTTTATTATTGTTATAAAAATAAATATAAATTATTTTTTATATATACAATATGGATGTTAAATCGAAACTCATCAAAAGAAGATTAATTTGATATATTACATATGTAAAACTGATAAAAAATACAAAAGTTATTAACTTTTAAAATATATATACAATTAAATAGTTATAATAAGGAATGATATTAAAATACAATTAATACATGTAACATGACCATAAATAATCAACATATTTATGGTAATCCGAACCTAATTATATTTGGTTTGGAATTAAATTAAAATTTATTCAAGCCTAATACCGAAGCATATAATTTTGCCACATAGGATTCTGAAGCACCAGAAACAACCACGTAGACTCAGCGCGTTCTGTGTTAATATATAGGAGGATGTGTAAAATTACTTATGCATAACACACTATAATTTAAGCATTTAAATAAAATACATATGTGTTTGTAAGATGTTTATAGGTAACTTTTCTTGATAATTAATTAAACATCAAAATAGAAAGTTGGATTATTTTTCTAAACCGCTATATTGAATCGCTGCATGTTGCAGCGTTTTTAAAATTAGCTTTTTTCATCCAAAAAGCCAATAGAAACAATTTTTATACCGAACATTATATTTAGCTGCTAGATATGGTCAAACAACTAAATAAATGCCACCATTCCCTAATATTCAGTTTTTTTTACCCTTTTTTTCTACTTTATATAATTCTAAATATTTTATTTTTATTATTATTTAAAAAATTATTTACAAAGGGAGTGAGCCAGAATTGAAAATAAAAGTAGCATTTAATTTTGACCTTGACTTTGTCCATGAACAACTCGGGTGCCATAATTTTCCTCTGGCGTGCCCAAAAGTGTCCATTAGAAGTCAAAATTCCCTGTCCCAGCAAAGGCCCAAGATCCTTCTGCTGATACGAAGGCCGCCCAAAATCAAGTGACGTGCACGTTGTTATCTCCTTCACCAAATCAGGAGTATTCACGCACAATACTTGCATTTTTCCAAGACTAAACATGTACAATGGGCCTGCAAATCATTATTAATTCCTAGTTATAGTTGTTAGATATTTGAATATATATATTTTGGGGGAAACTATTCCGTCGGGATTCGTAACTGTTAGATCAACTATCTTCGACGGTTACATGATGATCTAACGGTTACAAATCCCGACGGGATGGTTCTGTAACGGAATGGTTACATGATGACCTAACGGTTACATGGAATTTCGATTTATTAATTCCTAGTTATGTATAGTTGTTACATATTTGAAAATATATATTTTGTACTAATAAATGGTATCCAAATATTATCTAGTCAAAATGGTCCCCTGTATTATGTTTTTGAATAGTTTGGAAAATTCGGTCACACTTATTTGCCAATTGGATACGTACGTACCTTCGTGAATCACGAATTGAAAAATGAAATATAACTTTATTTATCTAATAAATTAAAACAATAAAACTTAGTTTATAGCAAAAATGTGATCTTCCAAAATAATATTATTACTGGCCAGAAACAACAATTCAATCAAAATTCGTTACAAAAACTAAGAAGCGGGAGGAAAATGGGTGCGGTCCTACTAATTTTAACATGCTCCCTCACTTGTGAGTCCTTCGGAAGCTCAAGCCCAACTGGGTTGAGTGACGAGTACGTCATCGCACGATCACCAATAGAACATACCATAAAAGAAACTATGGGAAAACGGGTGCAGTCCTACTAACATGAAGTGTACCATAAGCCGGGAAAACTCATATGAAGTCCGAGTGGGGTTCCATCCCAAAACCAATTGGTGGAATGAGGAGTAGCCCATTAGACTTATAAGGTGGGTCTATTGTCCATATATGAACGATGTTAGACAACTTACAAGTGATATTCTAACAAAAGTGAACAAGCATATAAATTGCATACCGTATTGTTCTCTCCATTGCTCGAGAAAGGGGAAAACCGCGGGCGTGTTATGGAAGACCGGCGGGTGAGGGTGAGCAACGGCGGCCCGTTCGGCATCTTGTCGAGATCTCTTGATCTCGATTATGTTGCCGACCAGGAATTTCGGAGGGGGGCCACCAATCCCTTGTTGCCTCATTAATTTGCGTAATTTTTGTGGTTTAATGATTAAAGAAATGTATAAATGGATGAAAGTTGCTAGGACAAGAGCAAGAAACGTTGAGACGATCATTTGTGATGGTCAAGTGTGTCTATATGTGTGTCAGAGACGAGTGAATTAACTTATTTGATTGTTTGCTTGTTTGCTGATTATATAAGCACGAGAATATTGGGTTCATCGTGAAATTAATCACTTTTTTAGGGTGCAAAAGGAAAAGAAAGAGAAAAAAGGGAGCTGACACAAATAAGGTGGTATTCCAATTCCTCCATATATGACTTGCAAAATGGTCAAGTTTGGTGCAATATTTCATACTTCCTTTTTATCAATTAATTTGAGGATTAACTATAATCTATGAACCACTGTACCATTCTATCTTAAATTAAATAATTATCAAAATTAGTCAGATCGTATGTTGAGGATTCAAAACGGTTTTGGTATGGAGACATCGGACGGCTCGGCTTATGGAGCCATCTATATTTATTTACAAATAATGTATTGACATGTGTTCTGCAATAAATACAAATTGAACATGTGTCAGTATATAAAGTAATGGATGACTCCATCCGATGGCTGGGATCCAAAATTAAGATACTGCTTAAATTTAAGAAATATTTAAACTTAGTGAGATCGTGGGTTAAGGATCCAAATTAAGATTAACTACTTCAATTAAAGAGCTATTTATTAAAATATTATTAGATAATATTATGTAGATATGGAGATCGAATGTAAAAGGAAGAAGACGAAAGTGAAAGAGAAAGGAGGCCGATAAATGTATCATTTGAGAGAATGAGAAATTAAGATAACATTGTCTCGGTCTCATTTATGTGTACTTTTCTTTTACAATTAAAGTTATTACACACTTCATAGCAACTTTGTTTAATAAGTTGACATAAAAGATGCATTGTTAACCCAAGAGCGCTTGGATGAAGTGACTTGAGTCTCTTCCACCTTAACTAGTGGTCTCATGTTCGAGCCTTGGGAATGCAACAGTGTTAAAAACTCTTGAGGGAGAGCTTTGCCGTCCTTGTGGTCCTACCCAACTCGATTCCAGATTAGTCGGTTCTCTGTGGATCCGAAAACCGGAAGGTCCCTGTACCAAAAAAAAGATGCATTGTGAAGGATAAAAAGGTTAAACACATACAAAAACATATAACATTATTACCGTCTTAACTTTTTTTTT